ATATATACACATACATACATGCATGCATATATATATATATATCTACGTATATTTATATTTCTATGTACTTATACATGTATGTGCATATATGCACACACACACACATATGTATATATATATATATACACACACACACACATACTTAGATGGTACCCACCACCGGGTGTTGCATTCCTTACTTCTGCATAATGACAGCGCCATACTACATCTGAAAACTTGCATGCAACGCGCTTAGCAAACGTTGTACAGTGTTTCCCCTGTCTGTATACCGATTGAGGAAACCTTTGCTTTTTGTACCAGCACCGGAACCATCATGTAGAGCCGACTGCAAACCAGAAAGCCTCATGTAGCTTGTCCGTATAGTGATTTTGTGAGCATAAGCAGTACGTAAGATGCAAAATCCTGCTTGTCCATAGAATGAGATCGTATCAGCCTTATCTCGTGCATGTTCTGTCGACTTTGCTAGTCCCGCGCCTTGCCACATTCATGATTGTCTTCTTGTGGACATCTACGCCCTATTAGAAGCCATTGTCCCAGTCCAGAATGTGATTCATCGTGTTAGAAAGTGGTAAAACACACTGCATCACTCCTCCCGAAAGAGAGTTCATCCCCATGTATTGGAAATGGCGTTGCTAGGTGTTTTTTACCTACCAAGAGCGTTGCTAGGAGTTTTCCTGAGGAACCTAACAGTGTGTAAGCTGCAAATTTTGCTTGCTCACCTCACGGATTCTTATCAGTCTTGTCTCATCGAAATTTTGCTTCTTTGGAATGATGTTTGGACATAACGTTGCAACCAATTCGTCTATGTACCGAGTGATGAAACCTTGCCAAGTGGCATTGAGGTCTTGTCAGTCGTATCTCAATTGTCTGCGTAGCTTGATGTTCCAATGCCGATAAAGCCTACTGAGTTATTGTAGCCCCGATAGTAGCCACGTCCTGTTCCACACTATGATTCCTTGAGTGAGTTATTGCAACCCCGATAGAAGCCACGTCACGTTAACTTGTGCATAGATTGCCTTGTCGCTTGTAAACTCCATGTATTGGACCGGTCAGATCATTAGAAAGATTCCGCAGCATGGCCTTTCCGCTAAAGTCGCGGGAATATGCAAGGGGTCCCGGGAATACGTGCATTCTGACAGCAAAAATCCTGCATCATTGCTCAGAAAACCGAATAAACGCCAGATACTCAGGACCATCTATTTTCCTAGTCCTTGCTCAGCTTCATTGCAGCTTCAGTCTTCCCCCAAACAAGCGATATTTTTGATTTATGTGCTGATGAAGTACTGATGAAATAGATGTTTTTCGTATGATTAATTGTGCAACGGGACCCTCCCAAAGTTTTCGAACCACAACGCTGGTTTATAAATCTAGGCTTTTCGAACTTTCAAGCATTCAGTTTGCCAATATTGGGCAGGGCCCGGAACCACTAAACCAACAGACAGTTTTTCACCATTTCACCAGTCGATTTGATCCTTCAAGTGGTTTGGTATCCAAACCAGCCTTCATGTCCCTCATGCACCATTTCACCAATGGGGTGGTTGCGCAGCCGAAACCCAATTCACCATTTCGCAAATTCACCATTTTACCAATTAGTTTGGCCCTATGTCCAAACCCATAAAGCATGTCACCATTTCACCAATTAGCTTGGCCCTAGCCCATAAACCAGTTCACCGTTGCAGCATTTCACCAATTGTGCTGCTTCTAACCCATCAACCATTTTACCAATCAGTTTGGCCCTAACCCCTAAACCGTTTCACCATTTCGCGAATTAGTTTGGCCCTAACCCACAAACCATTTCACCAATGAGTTTGGCCCTAACCCATAAACCCTTGCATCATTTCACCGAACAGTTTGGCCCGAACCCATAAACCCTTTCACTACTTCACCATTAGTTTGCCCCTAACCATAAACCGTTTCACCATTTAGTTTGGCCCCTAACCCATAGACCCTTTCACCATTTCACAAATCAGTTTGGCCCGACCCCATAAACCATTTCATCATTTCACCATTCAGTTTGCCCTTAATTTATAAACCATTTCACAGTTTCACCAATCAGTTTGGCCCCGACCCATAAACCATTTCACCATTTCACCAGTTAGTTTAGGGGACATGAACGGTGAAATGGTGAAACTGTGAACTGGCCTAGGGGGGAATGAATGCTGAAATGGTGAAGTGGTCATATGGGGGAGATGAATGGTGGAGTGGTGAATTGGACCTTTGGGGGAAATGCATGGTGAAGTGGTGAATGTGTGATTTGTTGTGCGAGACCACGAAATGCAGGAGGGGGGAACACAACATTACCCATATGTTCATATACATATATGCTTATGCATGCGCAGATGCACACCTGTGTATGCATGCTGCGCATGTGCACATATTCATGTGAGCATGTCGATGTTGGTGTTTTTGTTGATGCTCCAGTTGATGGTCGCGCATCCCCGAGGTCGTCGGTCGAGCTCGATGCACAGCAAGTCGAAGTGGCTGCCAAGCGCGCGCTCCTATGCTGGAAGCACGCGGAGCAGCTGCAGCCGAAGGCAAATAGTTCCGTTTGCATGACACATTATGTAAACTTGGAGCTTACCTTGGGCCGTTGCATTAATGCCGCTTCTAAAGTCGCACTTCAGTGCTCCAGTTCTCGATCAGTTTTTTGCGGCCAATGATGTTGCTAAGCTAACTGATTCGGGGCGGTGGCCGCTCGAGGCAATACTTTCATCGCCCTCAGGTTTTTCGAGTTAGAATCCGATTTACCAGCATAACCGTGCCAAGCTCAAGAGGCCGCTCCAGAGCCACAGCCCGTCTCACAACGAGTATGGGCTCAGCAATGCTGCTCGGGTTGCAGAGCCGGGCTCTTCGAAAGGGCGAAACAGGAAGTCAATCTTTCTGAGGGTCAACCCACCTGCCGGAGGCATGCCATATCATGTTTTCGCAAGAGCCACCTCGACGGCTGAAGGTAAAGTTCACGTGCGGTCACCAGTAGCAGCTTGCAGGGCTTGATGGCCAATGTAAACTGGGGAATTCACTTTCTGCAGTACTGGTAAGTTTTCCGCGCAACCCTGCGTTCTCAAATCCTGCTGTAAGCCTTCAGGCCAATCCTCAAATTCCACTGAGTCCCGAAGGTCTTTGGCCCCCCTTTGTAAACCAGACCGGGCCTGGCAAGAGCCGTCAAAGGCGTAGTTCGGCGCCATGATGGCCTGTACTGCTGGGCCTGCCAGGCCCGTGGAGGATGGCGAGGGTCGCATGACAAATCCTGAGATGGCTTGTGCTGTTTTGGGAGCAACTTCCAGGGGGATACGGGCTTTGGCAGTTGCGTAGTTGTTTTTGATGATCGTCGCCGGTTCGGGCGACGCTTCCCAACCGCAGCCCTGGAGTTAATCAGGCCGGTCCTGTACCGACTGACGCCGACATGCAGAAGCACATCGATGGAGCAGCCCGGGTGCATTAAATCTGGACCTGCTGCTGCCGCTTCTACTGTTACTGCTACTGCTACTGCTACCACCAACACCGCCAGCACCGCCACTGCCACTGCCACTACCGTGGCAGCGGCACGACCACTACCACAACTACTAACTACTATATTACTGTAAATTCTAGAGGGCATATCTACATGTATGATCAGCAAGCCGTTGTCCCAGATTTCGACATGGGAGGTGTCAAGTAGCAAAATGGTTTTAACATGTTTACGACTATTCAGATTGGTTGCTGGTTCGTTGATTGGCCTGAATGTATCTTCTACATGGCCTCTGTGATCATCAGTCCTCATTGAGTCCTTGGCCTAGCAATGTACGCACAAGTGACGCAAGGCGTGGCACAGAGCTTTCTGGGTTTATGGTAGATTGGCCTGAGGATGTCTGAGGTCTAGACTGATTGAAGCTGAAGGACTTAGGGACAAAAGAACTGGAGGCTCAGCACAAGCGCCGCATGGTGTTGTCCGGCATCCTCGAGGATGGGCTGACAAGACTCTTCCATGCAGAACCATCAAACTTGGCTTGGAATCCGCCACCATCTCCCCATCTGCAAGCCTTGAGCTCTATCTTCAAAACGCTTCAAATTCAATAATTCAATGCAGCCTGGTCACCCCGGCCGTACAACCTCGAAATGCTGAAGCGCCAAACTGCCAGGACGATCAGATCTTGCCTCCTGTCCCTTCCTCCCTTGCGGCGCGCGGCATTGTTTTGCAGAAGGGGAAGGACGGCACCCTCCAGTATATGTGTCAGAAGTAGCTCGGAGCATTTCAGGGTTTCAGAGTTTTGGGCTTCGGCTTGAGCATTTTGCGTGCGGTTCTCCTTTAGACCCCAGCCCAGGTGCAAAGCGGGTCCATTTCCCACGCTGGATAGACGCTCGGTTGTAGTATCTGAAGTCTTGCCACAACTGCGGTCTTGGAGTTCCACGGAAACACGATGGCCCTGTGCTTCTAACGAAACATCCGAGGTGTGGACTCGCACCTGCATGGTGCCAAGCACCTGCACAAGGATCCAATTTAGCTTCGAGATGTGGGCCTTGCGTCAATCTAATCTTGCTATTGCAAGCCGGGGTGGACTAGTGAATGAGAGCTTCCATGCAGACATTCGCATGCTCTTGTCTTACATTGCAGATCAGACCTCCTCACCTCCTCTCTAACTTTCATTTGCAAAGCCAGGGCCCCAGTATCCAAGCCCTAAGGCCCCCACTCAAGCGCAGGAAGTCACCTGAATGCTTAAGGCCCCAGCTTGGATCATCCAAGAGACCTGAGAACAAGCCCTTACGTGTGGAAGTTGAGCGGAAGACCTCAGCAATTGACCGCTGTGCTGCAAGAATGGGCGCCTGAACCAAATGAACCAAATCCTGTTTTCAGCTCTTCGAAGCCGAAGCGCTCCGCCGCTCCGCCGCTCCGCAGGAGGGTCGAGAGCCGGAGCTGCGACTCACGGCGGACCTTGCCAAGGCCAGGGCTCTCGCCGAGCCTGCGTAGCCTGCGCAGCCTGCGCGCGGGGTCCTCTGAGCCTGCAGGCGAAGATGTTATAAGTCAGTCTCTGAATTCGAACATCTCCCAGACTCACCTCATCCTTCCCATCTGAGCGTGTGCTTGTCCGGCAAGGAGGGATTTGTTCTCTCAGCCGCCGGAGAGCTAGAGTATCTGAGCTGCACATATTCCTTGGATACAGAGGTTCTTACTTTTCTTCCACCTCTTCCCATGATGTGCTGCTGCTGCTGTTGTTGTCCGCCAGCTCTCAACTCGCCGACTGCTCATCTAGCAAGAACAGTCACTCCTCTTACCACCGCATCCATATAGCCAGCGGGACTGGCACGACGACCATCACTGGTCCTCATGTGTGGAACAAGGCCTGCTGATGGTGGGTTTCGGCAAAGGGGCTTTCAGCTTCATGAGTTCTGATTGGAAGTTTCCCTGTTCCTAAGGGCCCATCTTTGGCCCCTTGCTCGCTGGGACTCCCGCATCCTCTCAGCCCTGCCGAGAAGCCAAGGTGTCGCCTGTGTGAAGCAGGCCCATTTCGGGATCGGCAGAGTCTGAGGCCGGATCGGCGAGGGTTCCAGCGATCAGTGGCCTTTCATACGGTTGAGGTTGTGAAGGGTGTACAGGTACACCCTAAACCTTGGGTTCGAAGCCGTTTTGTGATGTCCCATGCAGGCTGCATCGCCAGTCCTTGCAGCATAGAGGCCACGGCGACACATGTGCCAGGCCGCCAAGGAGAGGACAAAACCTGTCTTGTAAAGTGCATTTCGAAATGTTGGGTTTATGTTCCTTTTCCTGGGGTGCTTTTCGTGCAGGTGTAGATGCTTTATGGGAGCTCTTGTTGCCTGACGAAACCACGGGTTTGGGCACCGCTTCGTATTGTTAGCGCTCCCACAAGAGCGGCCGGAAGGACACTCTAAGCACAGACTGCGACTTTCCCCGGACATGAATATAGATTTATACCTTCCTGCAGTGATGTCTTAGGCCCGTGCCATCGCTTTCTGCGCCATTCAGGATGGAGGAGGAGTTGCGAGAGCTTCCAGGCTACTGTAATCTGTTGGGCAACGCATTCTGCTGCTTCCTCTGCGATGTGTCCGCACCATCTCTGGTGCCTCAGCTGAGCTTCAGCAAGTTATTCAGCAGACTAAATAGCCAGTCAAAGTCCATGGAGCGGAAGTGCATCAGAGGATGGCATGTTGCAGCATCTTGCGGGCAAGAGCCATCGGAAGGCCAGTCAGCATGCGTTAGGAAGCACGTCCCAGAGTCCCCAAAGCCCTGGCGGAGGCTTGCCAGGCTCATGGTGAGCCAGAGCCGCTGATTCTCTGCAAGGATCTCGTCTGTGATCAGGTGGCTCTTCCGTGTTGGGATATGTAGGGGACCCGTAGGGGACCCTCGCACTGCCGTGGCTTTTCGCAGGTCTCCGACGTGTACCCCTTGCAGGGTCGGCTCCGAGACGTCGACCTGGAGCCGTTCCCTGGCGGGTGTTTCGGGTTTGGGAGGGCCCAGTAATCCAAACGCTCTCACGTGGCATGAAGGGAATGGATTCTTGTCCTTATTGTGCCTGTCGAAGTTTCCATGGAGCCATCTGCAGACTTCAACCTTTTAACCGAGTCATCGACACGCCCCAAAGCCTTCACCCCAATCCACTGAGGCCCGCAAAAGCCAAAGGCTGTCGGTGTCCCCCTCAAAGCCCTAAGCCCTCGAACCTGGAAGCAGGGTTCCCACAGGCTCGAACACCGAAGTTGTGGATGCATCTCCCTCCACGAGCCCTAGCAACCTAAGCCCAGAAACACTCAGCCCCCACTCAGCCCAAGTCCTGTCAAACATGTCAAGGATCTTCAGAAAAGGCGCGGGCACTTGGCAGGAGGCCGGACCTGGCCACAAGAAGCCACAGGGAGCCTCGGCTTGCAGTTCAGAGAGGATGACCCGGTTTGGAGTCGAATTGTCTTGTCATGAGCATTCTTCTTGATGTCACGTTTTTGTCTTGTTTGTCATGGTTGTGCGCGGCGTTGTTTGGCATCACGGCCTCTATACTTGTGCTTCATATCTTTATCCCATAGTTGTCGTCATTATCATCACGGTCAATGTCTACTAATCGTCAAAACCGTTGTATTGTCATTCTCAGAAATGTTTCGTTCTCATTAATATTAGTCCTAGTGTTGCTACTCACCCCACTGTTGTTGTCACTCGTTATGGGGTCATTCTGCTATTTATTAACCGGGTTTCGGTCTAAGGGTGTCGCACAAAGCATCGTGCGCGCCTCGGAGCACAAAGCATTCGTCCTTTGCATTGTATTTCACAGCGATGTGACGGAGATTCCTGGAGGTTCCAAGGGGCAGAACATGTTTGAGAACGGGTGCGGTGCACCCCCTCAGCCCCTGTCGTTTCTGCTGTTGTTGCTGCCGGTGGCAGTGTCCCGCTACCAGGTAATGATGACCGGTTGTGATCAAGCTGCTGATGCAGCTTTCTCCACCCTGCTTTCCCTCTCATCGAAGCCCGAAGTTGTCTGTACTGCAAGCATTTTGGACAATGGGATATCCGACTTCAGTGGCCTGATGATCTGAGGTGTGGCTGCGTCACAAGCTTTGCTCAAACCGCCGCTGCCCCAGGCTCGTCTCCGCCCCAGTCTTTGAGAGAACTCTGGCCCAGGCCTCGCGCAATGGTCTCGAAGGATGATGTCGAGAATGGCGGCGAACCATCCAACTTGCCCGCAAAAGTTGGGGATAAAGTCGTCGTTCTGTCAGAGGACGCCGGAAGTCCTTGGGCAGCCAGGCTTGCAATTGAACGCAGTTTTCGTTCCCGGCTCTCTCCATTTTTCTTGGGTTTCGTAGCCGCCGGAACCTCGGGGTCAAGTTTTGGTTGCGCATGCGACGCAAAGGTCTGGGCAGAGATCGATGAGCAGAAAGGCCTGGACTCCCGCTGCGAGCACGTGTATCCGGGATCCCCTGACGCCCCAAAGTCTGATTTTCTCGTTGATGCTACTAAGTAACAATCATGACTTATTGGTTTGTTACGCTGATCACAACAAGACTCCCGGTTCAAATGCATAACGCTAGTCTGCTGCTAGTCGTAATTTAAATTCATCCCAGAGGCTGGTTTCCCAGAGATGCCCTCGTCAAGAAGCTTCCACCGTGGAAGCTCAAGAAGGTCGGGAAGTGTTTGCTGCAGTCAGCGGGCTATGAACAGCGCCAGCAATCGTTGTTGAAGGCCGCGAGCAAGACCGCGAAGGCCAGGTTTGCTTGAGAGCCGTGGTACTTGGGGTGGCAGGGTTTCCGGGTTTCGGGCTTAGAGACCATCAGCGGAGAGCAGCAGTGCTATAAGCGGCGGCACGACCAACTGCAGAAACCGAAAGCGAGCAAATTCCAGGCTGCCGGCCCCATCACACCCGCGCCACCGCGGGTTATGGTTGTCCGCCCAGAGCCATTGAACTTTCCTGCGCCGGTCGGCCAGCAGTTACTACACGCTGAAGCTGGTGACGAGGCCCTGCGCTCTAGGGCCATCGGGTTGTGGACCTTCAACCGAAATTGGCCTTGGCAGGTCACCATCTTGATGTTCGGTGAAGGCGGTGACTGGGTTTGGGCGGAATGCAAAGGCGAGCACGGGATGTTCCCGAGAAGGTTTCTGGAAGAGCGGAAAGACTCTGAGCAGGCAGCTTGTCCACTTTGTTGAGACCCAGGTTTCCGAAGCTGAGCCTTCCAAAAGCGTTGAAACCTTCGAAGCCCAAGGTGCAAGGCGTCCTGGAGTCCGACTCCGACTTCGAACTTCGAGTCACTCCACCGGAGACGCCCTTGGACTGGTCGGATGTCGGCCGAAGGAACCTTGCTGGCACTGTGGGCTTTGCTGTAGTGACTGTAGTGTTCTGGTTGTTTGGCAATGAAGTCCCGTTGGTTTCTTTTCCAGATCCTCAGCGACTTGCGCGATTGCTTGCTTGCTTACTTGATTGCAGGCTTTCTGCGATCTGCTGCGCATGTTACACTTTGTGTCTCTTTGCATGTCGACTCATTTTCATTCTTTTCATTTCGTAGCTGCTGCTGTCGGTGTTGTCGTCGTTGTGGTGGTGCTGATTGTTTTTTGTGTTGCTGCTGTTGTTGGGCAGTGCGCTTCATGGCATTGAGGCAGCATTTCTTGCTTTGGGGTTTTCAACTCGGCTCGGTAGGCGATGGGATCAAGCCCAAACCTAAACCGTAAAACGCCTTGTTGGTAGGTTATTTGATCTAGTGAAAATAAGGCCGAAAGCAGTTAGCTACAGCCTCAACCCACACTTGGCGTTCGACTTACTGAACGGGCAGGTGGAACAGAGGTGTCACAAAAAGCACCTGGCCTGAATCTCAAAATCCTAGCACTAAGCTCCCCAAATCCCAGGTCGTAAACTCCCTCAGCCTAGGACCCTTTGCCTCAGAAAGGGTCCTTACAGAGTCTTTGCCGGAATTCAGGGTCTGCGAAACCACAGGCCCCAGCCCAAAACCCTGCCTCAACTTCACGAAGACCCGTCTCGAACCAGCCGAGGAGATTCTACTGTATTAAAGACGTCACCGAAGCCTTTCTCCGGGTTGTGAAGATGCGTGAGGAGCGACTGGAATCCCAGTGTTGTGCCGAGAATAGCTGCCCATGGTTTTGAGTTTGGAGTTCAGGGTTTCGGGCGCAGGGTGTCCGTATGTCAGTCCTGTGCGGGGCCTTGATGCTACATGTTCGACCCGCTTTGCTGCCTTGCAACGAAACCTTGTAATTACGTCTCTTAGAAATTGGCAACATGTCATAGAGGGGATCTCCAGCTAAGGCAGATGTCGGCATCAGAAATTCTGAAAGAAGCGATTCGAAAGACGTCCGAAAAGTCAGGTTCGCAACCTTTCATGCCACCAAAGAGGTATCGGCCTGCCAGCATCCCCCGAGAGCGGCACCACTGGCAAGAACGATCCGGATTCCGCAGCCGACGGGCTTACGGTCGAAGTCGACAGCATGGAAGGATGAGCAATCCCCCATATCATGTGTCCGACAGGTTGAGTTGAAGGCAGGGTGCCATCGAGAAGGCGGCAGACGGTCTTGTCACCTGTGAGTCCGTGCTGGTGAGCTATTCGGGGACGAAAGCCATTCACTACATGGCAGCTACAAGGTTGGTGTCAGCATTGACCAACCCCATCACAGACGAACAGCTTGCATGAAGCGAGAAGGAAGAGTTCTTTTTCGACCATGCACTGAACAGGTGAAACAACGAGCACCCTCGATGACCACCAGCGCATGCCGCAGCTCGAGGAAATTACCTGGAAGCCGTCCAAGACCCCTCCGACAATTTTCCGAATCACAGGCTCCGAGAAGAAGGGGAAGCGCAGTGCTGAAGGAAATGGAAAGCCCTTAGCATTAGCTGGCACAGCAAGAGCTGTGCCATGCTGACTGTGTGTATATACATGGCTTCTAGTTTGAAGCCACTGGGCCGCTTCAACGAAATTGGATTCCAAAATCAAGCACGCGATGTTTGCTTTGGCATCTTTTCGGCAAATGCAGCAATCTTGTGTGTAATGTGTCCCAGCTAGGTCGCGGGCGCCGAACATGCCGCTGAAGAGGCGACAAAGGAGGGTGAGAAGGCGGGCGAGCTGACACCTGCCGAGCAAGCTTCCAGTATGGTCCAACGGTTACCAGTTGCTAGTGCTGGAGGCGGCGGTACTGCGGTTGCCAGTACTGCTACTGCTGCTACAGCTACTCTTGCTACTGCTTGCTGCTGCCACCGTCACCACCGCATCGCCAACGCTTGCCGCCACCACCACCAGCATCGTCATTATCATCACCGGCATTGCCAGGATGATCGGCATTATCGCCATTACCAGCATCACCAGCATCACCAGCATTGCCAGCATCACCAACTGGACGTCACCCTGCGGCACCTCTGCGCGCGCAGGCGGCGCAAGCGGACGGTGGCGGCCCGCGCCACCGTTACCCGGTCTTCCCTGCAAAGGGGCTGGATGCGGCCGTCCCTTTCGCCCTCGAGACTTTTGCACCAGGTGGCTTGCCCAGTGCTGCTCGCTCCAGTGACTCCAGTGGTGCTTGTACGACTCTGCTCGAGCATCGGGCGTTACAGGGCCCTCCGCCCTTGACCTTCCTCGGCTGAGCGCTTTGGAGCGCCGCGTAGGGCGGGAGGGTAGCTCGAGCGTACCGGACACTCCAGAGCTTACCGCTCTTCGGGCTGAGCCAAATCAAGAAGAAAGCATCGACATCATCTTACTGCGCGATGCCTTCTGCTGCTGCTTCTGCTGTGTTGTTGTTGTTGTTGCTGCTGCTGCTGCTGCCGTTGCTACTTCTGCTGCTGCTTCTGCTGTGTTGTT